TTCCAAGCTCCTTCACCTGGATGGAAAGGGAGGGGTCACCCAAGGGTATGGATGCCAGGAGAAGGTGTCTCTGGGAGCCATTTTAGAGGCTGCCTACCACACTGGTGCCCTGGGGACTAGACCACCTCCCAACCCAACCGTTCCAGAGTTCCAGGCTGTGTTCATCACCCCAGGCTGGGGACACCCTGAACCAGAGCCATCAGTTCCCGGAGGGGTGAGTCTTTCTCCCAGGGAATCTGTACACTCAGTGTTGCTGCACACAGTGACCAAACACTGGCCCCTTTCCTGTCTCCGTCCACAGCCCTGCCCAGTACCCCCACAGCCCCTGGAAAGGGTAACCCCCAGGTTCATGTCCCAGGACCCAGTGATGGGTGCAGAAAGTGGGGCAGGCCACCCTGGACTGAGTTTGGATGTTGGAGTGGGAAGGCTCAGAGCTGCTGGGGGTGGGGAGACTGGCAGACAGGCTGCCCCCCCCCCCTCTTGAGAGCCCAGATGCAAGAGGTGTACCTGAGGCAGCGTTTGCGTTCCTGCAGGGGGCAGGCCGAAGACCCATGGGCCCCGGATCAGAGGGGAGCCGGGAGTGACGCAGCCCCAAGGTGGGAGCCCCCTGGCGTGCCTGAAGAACCCACACCTGGTATGTTGACAGGAGGGGTCAGTATCCAGGAGAGCAGGAGCCCCTGAGCTGGGTGGCCACTAGATCGGGAGGCAGGGACATCCTCACCCTGAGTCCCAGGATTCCAGTCCACTCCTTTCTCATTCTTTGTCTCAGACCTTTGTTGGGTGTGGGCCCCCAGGGACCAGAGGTGGGTTTATTTCATGTGCCAGTTCCCCTTGGTTTGTGGCAGCTGTTTCAAACCTTTTGCTAGGTGGGGGCCTCCAGGGACAGGAGGTGGGTTTGTTCCCCTTGGTTTGTGGCAGCTGTCTGAGGCACTGTGTCCAGGAGGCTCTGAAACTAAAGTGGGGTTCAGTGGAGAGAGGCGGAGAAGGGGATGGAATAGTCTGTTGGCCACCCTCTGGCGGACACTGGGGGTACTGCACGCACTAGTCTTGGCCCTGTCACTGGTCCTTGCGTCTGAGAGCCCAGCGCAGTGACAGCACATGCCCACGAACAGGCACCTCGAATCCAGTGAGGCAGATGCTGAGCCCTGGACCTGTAAATGCAGACGAAAGACTCTCAAAGGATTTGTTAAATAGTAAACCCAGCAAAGTCATAAGCTTTTTTTTTTTTATCCTCACCCGAGGACATTTTTCCATTTTTTGTTCAGATGGAGTGGGAGGGAGAGAGAGGGGGAGAGAGAGAGAGAGAGAGAAACATCGACGTGAAGGGACACATCGAGTGGCTGCCATCCACACGACCAACCAGGGCCGGGGACAAACTGCAACCGAGGTACGTGCCCTTAGTGGGAACCGAACCCGGGTCTCTCTGTACTGCAGGCCGACGCTCCAACCGCTGAGCCAAACCGGCCAGGGCAGTCATAAGCTTTTAATTGTTCCATCATATGTACGAGAGAGGAAGAAAGTGCCAATGATTATTTTCTGATGGACAGAGACATTTCTATAAGTATATTATCTCTTGGGAATATGGAGATATTAATTACAACATTATTACCAGATAAATGAGCTAGTAAGACAACAGACTGGGATTACAGAGGAAGGGGGGTTGGAGGTTATTTTCACAGTTCATGGCAATAATTTCTGAAGGTTTGGGGATCTTATTTGACACTGTTCAGAAACTCTTCAAAAGACAGATCTATTTTCACAAAGAACATTCTCTTTCGGTTACTGTTATGAATATTGCCACATCTATTTGCATAAAGATGGGATTTCTTGAGAAGGCTTTCAATTGAAGACCTTATGAAATCAAGCTCTTTTAGCTGGTTTGATGGATGCGAAGCGACTTTCCTCCCTCCGCAGCTGCGAGGCAGCAGTGACATGTGATCTCCTTTTTCAGATTCCTTTTGTTAATTATGAAGACTTGCAGTTTTGAGGCTCTGGCCTAAAATTTCACTTCTTGAATTTCATTTGATTTTGCTGTCAGAAACCAAGAAAGAGCTAAAAAAAAAAAAGGTTATTTCTTAGACCTGGCCAGTTTGGCTCAGTGATTATTAGAGTGTCGGCCCATGGACCAAAGAGTCACAGGTTTGATTCCCAGTCAAGGGCATGTTCGTGGGTTGTGGGTTCAATCCCTGGGCCCCACTGGGGTTGTGTGGGAGGCAACCAGTCGATGCGTCTCTCTGATATAAATGTCTCTCTCTCTTCTACTCTGTCTGAAAATCAATGAAAAAATACCCTCGAGTGAGAATTTTTTAAAAAGGATATTCCTTAATAATAGTAAAAGGTACATGCAGTGGTTTTCTTTATGGGCCTGGATGGGCCCATCAGGACAAAGTGGGGGTGTCCTAATGAGGCCCTTCCTGCTCCACAGTGTCCCACGGTGGAGGAAGAGGGTTGTGCAGGTCCCAGTGAGATGGTCCGCCTTGGCTGGGAGGACAAGATGGGGTCAGCTGTAGGCAGGCGCACCTGACAAGCAGGCACACATTAGGCTGTGTAAATAAAGGTGGAACAATGAACTCTGACAGCCCTGAAGTTCACACACCAGCTCTCTGGGCACCCCCCCCCCACCTGCTGGGGATCCCCTCGGCTTTGGCTTCCTGGCTCCACTGCAGGTAGAATGAGGGAGGGGCTGGGACACGAGCAGAGGGCTCCTTACATCACTCTTCCTCCCTCAGGTCGCTTACATGAGCTGGACCCCACCACCAGCAGTAGCTTTGGGGAACCAGGAAACTCAGAATTCAAGGTGAAGGGGTCAAAGGGTCCTGGGCAAGGGCCCTCTCAGATTGAAGACAGCAGGGGTGGGGTCTATCTGGGAGGAGGCTGCTGGGGTGAGGCGGGGCCATCTCCTATAGCCAGGTAGAAGGAGGGACCATTACTGAAGCACCTTTACGCTACAGAGCACAGGCTTAACAAATTTAGGAATCGGGCAAGGGCCATATGGAAGTGAGGCCCACTGGGGCAGCCACTGGGGTCTCCAGGCTCCCCTGGGGAAGTGGCTCTGCCACAGGCCTAGGACAAAGTGCTCTTCCTTCCCAGAACCTGGTCCAGAAGGAAGAAAGGGGCCAAGCAGAGCCCATGACCCAGGGATCCCTTCCGCTGTCATCTGGAAGCCTACAGGGGAGAAAGGTTGCTCGGGAAGCCTCCGGGCCCTCAGGCCTGCCCTCCCAGGGCCTGCCAGAACCCCAAGATCCTCCTAAAGGATTGGGCTGGAGCCTGGACCAGGACAGAGCAGAACTTCAGGAACTGCTGGGGATTGAGATTCCTCCGAGTCAGAGAGAGAAGACAAACCAGCCTCCAAGTGGGAAGGCTACTCAGGCTCTGAGACAAGAGATCTCTGGTGGTCTGGGGTGGGAGACCCTGCAGGGTGAAAACAAAGATGTTCTTCAAGATCAAAAAGGAAATGGTCCTGAGGGCCTGAGAAAGGAGACCCCTCAGGGCGGGGCAGTGCAGATCCTTCAGTCGGCTGGAGGTGGAGGCCAGCTCTCACCAGCCTGCCAGGTGGCTCAGGGAGAGGTGCCTACACAGCCCCAGGAGGAAGAACTCCAAGGAATTCCAAGTGACTTCTGCAGGTCTCTGGGAGAACAGATGCCACAGCCTGGGGGAAGGGAGAGCCCAGGCCCCCGGGGAAGGAGCACCCAGATAACACAGGACAAGAACAAGGGCCAGAAACCACAATCCCCGAAGGGGGCCAGCTGGGAGGGCCTTCTGGCTCCTCTTGCGCCCCCACAGCTCCCAGGCCCAAGAGCCGTGATGCTAGCGTCCCTGAGTACTGGGGGCTCTGAGCAGCAAGAGTGCCCAACAGCTCTCCCGGGGCACCCGCGCATGGCGCGTGATCTACAGGGGCTGCAGGGCCCCGCAGGGGGCCCGGGCCCGGCGGAGCTGCTGGCGGGCGAGGGGAGGGAGGTGCAGGCAGGCAGCTCCGGGAGGTTCCCCGGCACCCTCGAGGAGCGGAAGAGCGCTTTTGAGGCCCCCAAGGCCTCGAAGGCTGCGTGGCCCGGGTCCCCAAGTCGGGAGAAAGCACCCGTGGGCGTGAGCGCTGCGCAGCAGGAGACAGCGCTGCAGAGGCTGCTGGAGCTGCACGGCGCAGCCAGGCGCCGGCAGCAGCAGGACCGCCAGCTGCAGCGGCTCCGGGTGCGTCCAGACGCTGGGCGGCCCCCTGGCGGGCTGGGAACAGAAGGCGGCCTCCGGCGGCTGACAGCTCTCCCCCCCAGGTCCTGGAACGCCTCTGCATTGCTAGGAACCGCCACAGCCGGGTGCACCCCCTGGAGCTCCCACCCAGCCCAGCTAAGTTCCTGCCACCACAGGCAAGACCCCGGGGAGAAGATAAGGGGCGGGGGACCCACCTGGGTCCCTTTGAAGTGCATGCTCCCAGAACTGGCGCTGACACTCACTGGGAGGGGGGATTATAGTGGGAGTCCATCCCAGTGCTGCCCCCTGCTGGCTCCGTGGAGCCCCGGGCCGGGATGCAAGGGCTCTCAGCGCTTGGCATCGCACAGGATGTGGTGGGGCAGCGGCGCGCCCTTCGGGAGCAGCTGGAACAGGTACACCAGAAGAGGACCGGGCAGCTGCGGGCCCTGCGCGCCAGGTGAGAAGGGCGGGGTAGAGGCTTGTGGGGTGGTGGCGGTCCTCTCTCCCTGGCACCTGGGATAACAGGCCACTCTCCCCCCAGGAACACCCAGAACTTCCAGCAGCTACTGTGCCCCTCTGGCGCTGAGAAGCCTACACCTGGAGAGGAGCGCTCATTCCCTTGTAACCACCACTGAATCTTTCGAGGGATGGTTATAGAAGTGGAGGTTAAGGAAAAAAGAGAGGGAATTTCAGAAAGGCCCAGAACGCAGCCTCAGAGCCTGGAAGAGCCAGAGACACACAGACACACAGCAGCTTCGTTCCACCAGGTGGCATGTGATTTCTTCTTCCCACTCCGAAGCACACTGCCTGGCCCATCGTCAGAGGGCCACATCCCGGGGGTCAAGAGGTGCGAAGGCCCCGTTCTTGCGGAAGAACGATTCAATGCGGCCCATACTGCAGAACAGTTCTTTCTTCACTGGGGGGCCTGGGAAAAGATGTCAGAGGCCAGGAATGGGTCCTGGGAAAGGCACTCACATGACAGCCCTGCCTTCTCAGCCCTAGGAATCTGACCATAGTATCCGTTTTGTGAGCGTGAATAAAAAGTGCTTCTGAGGAATGGGGGCTATGGAAAGACAGGGCGTGGGCTGGGTGCCTGGATCAGCAGTGATGGCAGAATGCCACTCAGCTGTGTGCCATCACTACCCCCAACCTCAGGATTGTCTACAGAGGGGTGGCAGGACACCTAGCCCTGCTCCACCGAGACAAAACTAGACTTCTCTAGGCCAGCTGCGGCTTTTTCCTACCGCCTGCTTTGGTTGGAATTTGTTCCCTTTACTCCCTTTTTCAGGCCCCTGGGGAAAGGGGTGGGACATTATAGGCAAGCTTTCAACTGTGTGTATCCCCGACCATCCACCTGTTCTGGGCAGGCACTACAGCAGCCAGAGAAGACTTTACTGAGTGGTCCACTTGAAACTCATGACCAGAGCGCAAAGGGACACTCAGCACCTGCACCCAGCAATCCCGCACCACCCCCTGGCATGTTCCTTTTCCCACACCTTAACTCTGCAATTCAAACTACACCACTGCCTGTGTTCCTCTCCGTCCCAACTGACGACCTTGGCTCAGCCGCACAGAAAAAGCACTCAGTCCAGATGAACACCATCTCCCCATCTCTGCCCACTGCCTCTCCTCCTGTCAGACTCCACAATCTGGAGTTCCCTGGGCGAGCTCACCCACTCTCAGGGTTTTCAAGAGCACCTACTTTCTGATGACCCCAACTGCATCTTCAGCTTTGACCTTGCTCCAGAGGATGACTGCCATACACGGCCTCACTGACACCTCCAGCACATGGCCAGTGCTGACCTGTCTTCACACACCCTCCAACTCCGCTCCTCCTAGTCTTCCCTGCCACAGCGGCTTCAGCTCAACACCTGGGTGTCATCAGTGCACTTTCCCTTCCTCACTCAATCCATCAGAAAATCCACACATTCTACCTCCAAAACACCCTGAATCGATTTCAGCTCTGCTAATCGTCCTGGCCCAGGCTATCATCTATTGCCAGGAAAACAGAAAATAGCTGCCTAACTGATCTGCCAGTCTATGCTTTCCCCTGGAACAGCCATTATATCCAGAACAGTCAGGGTTATTTTTATGTTTTAAAGTAAATCAGTGTAGTCACCTGCTTAAAACCCTCCACTAACTTCCTCACACTTGGAATAAATCTCAAACTCCTCCTCCTTGTCATTTAGCTCTCAGCCTGTTGGTCCCCAGTCAGGCATTTCCTGACAATGCCATCTAAAGCAGCATGTGCCCCCTGCCCCCACCGCCCCACTTCCTAATCTCATCGGGAACTTCTCCCTCTGACATTTCCTTGCTTTTATGGATGCCCCAGAAAGGAGTGTCCATGTGCCTAGTGCCCAGCACATCGCCTGGCGCATGGCAGGAGCCTGTGTTTGTGAGGTAATTTCCAGAAGGTTGGAGCTCACCCAGCTGCCAGCCATATGTGAAGTTGGTAGTGATGGGGAAGAGGTAGCGCATCTCTGGGATGTCCAGTTTACGGGTCTTGAGGTACTGGTAGCGCCCCTGGAAGTCGTGGGAGATGCCTTCATACAGCAGGGCCCGAGTGGCAGGCAGTACTGGGTACATCTCTGCCTGTGAAGGAGCCTCCAGGGCAGGGCTGGGGACCCTGGCCGATACTGCTTTGGGAGCAGGTGGGGGTGAGAGTGGGGGTTTGGGGTACAGGGTGGGCAGTTTGAGGGGTAGGCGGGTAGCAGCCTTAGCCTTCTGCTTGGCCTTCACCATCGACCCATACTTGCGGTACCATTCACAGCGCAAGATCTTCTCCTTAAGAAATTCCTCCTTCCAGAAGTTCTGCCGCACGGTATCCACGTTGAGTTGCCGTGACATGGTGGCAAGAGCAGAGGCAGCAGAATGACTGCAGCTGAGAGATAAGCACAGCAAGCAGAGTCCAGCAGTGGCTGCCCAGACAGTCACCAGGCAACCAATCCTCACCTCACACAGGGCCAGGGTTCTACTTGCCATGCCCTCGGCAGACCTCACATGCCTTGCTTCCTGGGACAGCCTTGGGCCAGGCCCACTGGTTAAGAGCCTCGATCCCCAAACCTTTTGCAAGACCCAGGTCTGGTCTAGTAGCACAGGCTTCCAGGTTTTCTGTGCTTTCTTCTTCTGTCCCTTGGGTCAGGTCCCCCCCAGTCAATACAAACTGAAGTGGGGGAGCCAGGAGTCTGGGCTCAAGTCTCCAGTTCCTCCCTGCCAGAGCTGGTTGCCTTTTTTTCTCTCTTTACTGATTTTTAGAGAGAAAGGAAGGAAGAGGGAGAGATAGAAACAGCAATGAGAAAGAACATTGATTGGCCGCTTCCTACATGCCCCCAACTGAGGATTGAGCCCACAACCTGGGCATGTGCCCTGATCGGGAATCGAACTGGCGATCTCTTGGTGCATGGGCTGACGCTCAACCACCGAGCCACACCAACTGGGCAGAGCTGGTTGCCTTTAATTCAGAGGACCTGTCCTTGAATTATGGCCTTCTGGCACAACCTTCCTTGTCCAACTCGTCTATACCTGGATCTTTGGCACAACCTTTTCCAGCCCTGCCCATTTAATCCCTCCAACAGCCTCATCCCACGTGAAATCGGTGAAATCAATTTCATCATCCTTTCTAGCATCTTTGAAGACAAGTAAGAACGTTATTTTAATTTAATATCAACAATGACACTGTGTAACAGCATAGGGAAGAAGTAGTGGAGAGAGTGTTATTCCCTTACCAACCTTGATTTTAATGACAGGGCCCAGCAACATGGAAGCACCTCATCTAGTCTCTCAACGAAGTGGGAAGGGGCAGGGAATTGGAAATCAGAAGCTCAAAACTTAGAGAGGGGCTGATGGCAAGCCTGGGAGAGGCGGTAGGGCTGTGGGGAGTCCCTTAGCGCAGATCTTCAGCTGTGAACATGCCCCTGGCCCTGCGCAGGATGGAGTCCTTGGCAGCATCATAGGGGTGCTCCTTGGATGGGATCTCAAGAACGGCGGGAATGGAGCGCTGGTGGGCGTCAAGTGCATGTCGCACCATCTCTGCAATGTACTGGTTGATGAGGATGATGCCAATGTCGTCCCGGTTTAGAAACTGCCTGTTGGGAGAGATAAAAAGGGAGTCCAGGGTAGCCCACTCCGCGTCGACGGGTTAGGCTTCAGGGGGAAATGGGCTTCACCCAGAAAGCATAGAAGACAAGGGTAAAGGTTGCTACACTAAACTCTCCATCCTCTCCAGAATCAATTTAATTCAGAAGCTAAGGGCCATGGTGGTCAGGGTTAGCTTCTACCTCCCCTGCTTAGAAAGCTCCCAAGTGCACTGGTAATGCAGACTAGGGTGCAGTGTATTCCATATGCTGCCTTTGTGTAGCAAAGGGGGAGAATAGATATGTCTGTACCTTTTCGTTTGTATAAAAAGAAAGTGGAAATAAGCTAAATGGGTATCCACAGGGGTGGAGGAGGGAGGTAAATGAGGCAGAATAGGACAGGGATGGGAATGAGACTTCTTAATATGTATACCTTTTAAGCATTAATTTGCATACCACATGAACACATTAACATTCCAAAGGAAAACAAATTACATTTTTAAAAGGGGGTTGGTAAGACGACTAAAGGCCTCAAGGTCTATGCTGATGAGGGCAGGGACAAATCACTGGGGAAGTTTAGCACGAGCCAAGAACACAACATAGTAGATAAAAAATCAGTAATGAAGGAATCACACTTTCCACACAGAGGGAACCTGGCAATGGATCTTCCCTTCTGTGATCACCCACTCATTCACTCATTTATCCATTAAAACTACTTACTTTGTATTACAAAGTTGCACACCTGAAACTTACATGATGTTATTAACCAATGTAACCCCAATACATTTAATAGTAATAATTAAAAAAAATATATTTACTGAGCACTTGGTGCCAGACAGTATGGTAAGTTAGACTTGACCTCTGAGGTCCCTTTGGGTTGGAAATATGGCAAGTTCTTGAGGTAAAATTTGTCCTCCCATGGCAACCTGGGCCCCTTTACCAGACTGCTTAGAGATCAGCCTCCCAGGCCAGGGCCTACTATACCCCAGGCAACGGGAACCAGTCTCAACTGGGCAGCTCAGGGCTGGGCTGTTTAGGGAGAAACAGGTGAGAGCCTTTGTTCCTGAGACTTGGCAACAAGGGCCCAGAGAAGGGGTGAAGGGAAGAACAGGGGTTGGCATTCTGAATTCTAGTCACCAGGACACTGCCTGAATTTAGGGACAGGTCTGCAGAAGACAGGACACAGTACTGATACTCTTCCCGCTGCGCTAAAGACCTTGGAAAATTCCAAAACAGACTGGGGAGGGCGGTACAAGCAGACTGTGGACCCGGCTTAAGAGAGGCAGAAAGGTTTGGGACTGGGTTCAAATTCCTGCTCTGTCTCTTCCAAATCGTGACTTCGGTACGTGCCTTACCATCTCTGGGCTTTCGTGCTCTCACCTGTAAGTCTGAATGACCCGACCTTACAGGACGACTGTTAACCTCGAAGGGAGACGAGAATACAAGAAAGCCCGAGCCCAGGGCCGCCAGGGGTTCATGGGGGTGTGGTTCCTTTTCGGGTCAACTCGCAAAAGAGCGGAGACTTGCAATACACGGAGCCTGCTCCACGGGTGAACTGGGAAACCCCGCGGACGGGCCGCACCCGGGGCTGGGCGCTCTGCAAGCCCAACCTCGGCAGGTCGGACTGCCCGAGGGGCGGCGCCCGTCACGAGCTCCGTTCCCCTTCTCTCCTGACACACCGTCACATGAAGTGGGAACTCATAAACCCGACAAAACCTCCAAAGGGAATTTGGGGAGCGGAGGCCTCCACTCGCGAAGAGGCGGTGGGCCGATTCCCCTGACCCTCGGGGCCGCGACCTCACACTCGGGCCAGGGTCTGGAGGCCCCGCGCCGCCCCCGCCCTCTCCGGGGCTCCCACCAGGCAGCAGAGGTTCCCTCTCAGGCCTCGCGGCTACCGTACCGGAAAGTGTCTTCGATCTCATTGATGGTTGTATCCTTCTCCACCACCAGGAAATTAGGGTGGCGGTTCTTGTTAAGCTCCCCTATGCCGCCCAGCAGGAAGCCGGTCACCGTGTCCTCGTCCCCGATCACCGCAATAAGCTTCCCCCTACCCGCCATCCTGGCAGACACACAGCGCTCAGCTGCGAACGCCTGAAGTCCTCGAATCCCCGCCTCCACAGCGCGCCGCCTTTTCGCTCACACCCCCACCCTTTAGGCATGCGCAGTTCCACCACTCCGCCTCCTGGGACATGCGCATTAATAGCAAAACGGCCTCCATACTTATGGCCTGCGCCATAAAGAGTGGCTCGAATCCGGAGACTACGACTCCCAGAAGTCCGCGCGGCATCACGGGTTGGCAAGGGACCTTCGATTGTTTGTGCGACCAAGGTGTTGAGCCTACAGGTGTTAGACCCCGAGATCTCTAAAGAAGACAGTTTCTGTTGTCGAAGGCAAGGTCTGGGTCTCTGTCGTGTATATATGGCACATAGTTAACAATGACTACATATTGTTTAATAAAAGGATGAGCAAGTTAATGATGTTACTGTCTAGTGAGGTTGAGTCTAGTGAACAGACAATTGCAAAGCAATGTGTTAATTGCTAAAATGTGAGAAGTACGTGGAAGCACTATCAGTGGTAACTGACCCATGGGAAAGGGGGCACTCAAAAAGGTTGCCAGGAGGATGAAGGGGATAGAAACGAGGACAGGAGGGTGTTCTAGGAAGAGGAACAGCCTGTGCAAAGGCTTAGTGGCTAGAGAGCGTAAGTGCCTTCAATAAAAGATTAAAAATCTGCAAATTATCCTGGGGATAAAGTTATGCTGAAGCCGCCAAAGGATATCAAACGAGAAAATATCACCAGATTCATGTTTTAGAGATAGCATTGTGACGGTGCTGTGTAGGGACAAGCCTGAAGGAGGAGACACCATGTGGTAAGAGTTGATGTGGCCAGAACTCAGGCAGTAATCATGGGGAATGTGTAGAAGCAGATGGAGTTGAGATGTTTTGAGATAGAATGGACAAAACTGGTTTTTGGATTGGATGTGTTTGGGGAGCGAGAGAGACCCAGGGGACTTCCAGGCTTCTGGCCTGTGCAACTAGGTGGATAGGAATAATACTCCTGAGTGAGCTTTGTGAGATGAACATGCTGAAGAAGAAAGGTCCACTCTTTCTTCCTTCCTTTTTTTAAAAAGAATCCTCACCTGGGTATGTGTTTTTATTGATTTTTTTTTTTTTTTTATCCTCACCCGAGGACATTTTTCCATTTTTTGTTCAGGTAGAGTGGGAGGGAGAGAGAGGAACAGAGAGAGAAAGAGAGAAACATCGATGTGAAAGGGACACATCGAGTGGCTGCCACCTGCACGACCAACCAGGGCCGGGGACAAACTGCAACCGAGGTACATGCCCTTAGCGGGAACCGAACCCGGGTCTCTCCAGACCGCAGGCCGACGCTCTAACCGCTGAGCCAAACCGGCCAGGGCTTTTTATTGATTTTTAGAGAGAGAGGAAGGGAGAGAGAGAAAGAAACATTGATATGAGAAACTTTGATTGGTTGCTTCCCTTATGCACCCTGACCGAGGATCGAATGCACAACCTAGGTATGTGCCCTGACTGGGAATTGAACCTGCAACCTTTTGGTGTACGGGATGACGCTCCAACTGAGCCACCCAGCTGGGACTTTCCTCCTCCTTTTAACAAACAGGCACCCTGGCATCTGGTATGATGCCAGGCATGGTGTTTGGGAGTTTAGAGCACTTAACATCGAGATGGTCTGGTCTACTGGTTGTTTGTATTAATAGGCTCAGCATTTGGGCACATCTGGTTTGAATCTCGGTCCTGCTACCTAGGGGTATGATTTTGGGCTCATCACCACCATTCTGAGGGCCTTGTTTTCTTCAAATAACAGTATGCCCACCTCATGGGCTGTTGGAATTAAGTGAGATGGAGCCCATAAGTGCTCAGCACCCAGGGCCATACTGTGGTTGGGAGAGACCAGCTGGGCCGGATCTCTAGAAACACATCAGTGCACAAGAGGAGGACAGCAAATCATGCAGGAAAACTCTCACATTTAGGGGTGAGGCAGAGGGAGGGCATAGAGAAGCAGTATGTGTGGAAGTACCTGGCTCAGTGCCTGGCGCAGAACTGGCCTTTAATGGCTATGAGTGGTCGGATACTTAAAAGAATAGATCTCACCTCGGAGGGTCTGTGAGATCAAATATGGAACTAGCCTCTATCACACACTCCTTCATTCAGCTGGCGTTTACCAAATGTGGCCAGAAGAGGCTGAGGACAAGCTTGATAAAATACGATTTCTGTCTTCAAGCAGCTCCCTCAGGACTGAGGGGAGAGTAAAATATATCCCAGGGAGGGAGTAGACATACAGAAAATGAGGTTTTGAAGGGGCTGTATTTAGAGCAAATGAGGGAGAGGGAAGGAAAAGAACTTAAAAGAGGAGCAAGGAGGCAGATAGGCTACTAAGTGAAGAGGTGAGGAGGGGCCTTTGGAGTTGACCCACCATCACGAGCTGAAATGTCTAGGGATCGTCCTAAGAATTGGGGAGTCAATTGGGTGAAATGCTTCTTTGCTCTGCTCTGGCTACTAAGTTGCTTGTTCATTTATTCATTCATCCCACCTGCCTGTGTCAGACCTGCCAGGGTTGGGGAGCTCAGTCTGGTGGGGAAGGTGGATACATGGTCACAGACCAGGGTAGCAAATGGCAGTTAGAGACATGTCCTGGGGGATATGGGAGCTGGGGGCTGGTCCAGAAGGGGTCCAGGAGAGCTTCCTATTGGATAGGAAGATGAAGAAGGTGGAGAAGCAAGGGTGTTCTCTGGCAGAGGCCCAAACAGCCACATGGGGCCTGGGAAACTATAGGCTGTGAAGAGGGATTAAAGCTGGAGGCTACTGTGGGGAATGAGCACACTGCCTGATTTGGGGCTTCTGGAATGAACAGGCAGGGAAGTTGGACCTGAACCTGGAGGCCTTGTTAGGAAGAATAGACATTAGCCCGCAGCAGGAGGGAGTCACAGAAGGGCCCTGAGTTGGAGAGGGGCATAATCTCTTTAATGTGATCCCATCTCCCTGCAACATGGAGAGTGGGTTGGAGGGAGCCTGCAGGGGCCAGAGAGGCTGATGCATCAGGGAGATGATCAAAGAGGCTGTGGGTCAGGGAGGCTAGTGAGAGGCTGGGGTGAGGGGAGGCTAGTGAGAGGCTGGGGTGAGGGGAGGCTAGTGAGAGGCTAGGGGGCGGGGAGGCCCTGACTTGACCCAGGACCTGGCTGGAGTTCCTGGGTCTGCATGTGGTCCTGCCTGCCTGCTGGATGAGGAGCATCCCTGTCTGAGTCCGCACTCATGTTTTAAGGTCCTAATTTGGAGAACATCCTTGAGGTCAGGCCGAGTAGAAACTGGCCTCCCAGTGGTCCTAGGGAAGTCTTCCAGGACACAGTGTCCACCTCCCTGTCCCATCTCCTAGCTCTCCAGGAATCTCAGGATGGATCCCACATCCTTAACTAAACCCCGCCCCCCCAATTCCTGGTTATTTCTGTGAACATTTTACCAACTTCTCAGACTTCACCAAATATATGACCCACCCCTGCCCCAGGCCCTTCTCCCTTGGCTTGGGTCAGTCCTCCAGGGGGCAGCCTGCTGGTCTCTGCCTCCCGGGGCCTGATTTAATGTCAGTGGGCCAGAAGGTGGCCCCGGAGCGCACGCGCACAAGGAACAGCCACGCCTCTGCGACAGGCCGCACTTTATTTGGAGTTTTCCACCTAGACGGCTCCCAGCTGAGCCACATGACATGTGCAAAAGTCCCCCCAGAAAGCTGGGCCTCGCAGTGTGTAAAAAAGGCCCCCCATGGGGCAGAGCTGTGCAACCATAAAAAAAAGGAGAGAGAAAGAGAGAGAAATCTGTCCCCCAGGAAGCCTGGCTGGGATGTAAATCGCCCCGAGCCAGGCCATGTGCCAACGTTGTAGCTCATTCTGGGTCCTTTTTCTCCAACGATTGTGCTTCGTTTCCAAGTCCGTAACACTCTGGGGTGGTAGCCACCAGAGGGGCCGGATGCACGCCTCCACGCAAAGAGGCCCGGCCAGCGGTGAGGTTTGAGGGTGCCCTCTCTCACACACACAGACACCCCCAAACATGTGCTGCCCCACTGGCCTCAGCCCCACCAGAAAACTCAGGACTTCCCTGACCCACCTGAATCCCCAGTCCGCCCTCATGTCACATTCAAGGGGAGGGACACTGTCCTGAGTCAGAAAAGGCCTCTAACCCCTGGGGGCTTGGCGGGCTGAAGAGGCAGTGCCATTCATTTCACACCTCAAGGCAGGTGTTTGTGGTATCTGATTGTGCACGTGTGCATCTGGGTGTGACCCATCTGTGTGTGTGTATGTGAGTGTGTGTTTGGCCAGAGGTGAGGGCTGAGGCTGGGGGAGGCACTTCTGGGATTCAGGGCACATTGACTTTGAAGGGGCTTCCGGGGACGCTCTCGTCGCCCCACTTGACGATGAGGATGTAGTCCCCTTTCTCCTTGACGGTGTAGGTGACGTTGTATACCCGGTTGCCCATGTGCTTCACGTATACCTCCTCACAGGGGGTCTTGGGCCCATGCACACCCACCATCATCATGTTGGTGCCTAGAGAGGGAGGCAGGGTGGGTGCACTCAGACCAGGGACCCTTGCCCACAGCAGCCCCTGCCCCCCATTCCTGCCCCCTTGCCCTCCCTAGGCGACCGCCTGTCTCCCCCTCGGCATGCCTGCTTTGCTGCAGTCCACGGTGAAGGAGTTCTTCTGGCCCACAAAGGCCTGGGACAGCCCGGGGCCCCGTGTCACCACCTTGCTGGCATCTGAGGAGAACTTGGGGATGGAACTGTAGCTAGAGCCCCGGCTGGAGGACGACTTGGTCACTGTTTCCACCAGAACTGTGGACGTTTCATGAAGGCTGTGGCCTCCAGACAGCCGAGGACCTGAGGGCAGAGTGGGATAGCGGGTCAGAGGTCTGCTCTTCTCCAGACAGCAGGCCCTCAGCCGGCACTGACAGCCCCGTGGGACTCGGTCACGGGCCACACTCCCTCCCTCAGCTGCAGCGCCCGAGGAGCGACAACCACTGCTCGTGAGCCTGGGTTCCCGCTGCCACGGCAGGAGTGCCCTGAGGCCTGGCCTCTGATGGCTCCGTCCGGAAACTCGAATCACAGGGT